TAACATTTTATTTTAACCAACTTAAATTTGCTTTTGAGATCATTTTTAAGTAAAAGTAATAACAGCACACATGGAAGAATTGAATTGAAGAATTCCTCTTCAAATGCAAAGAGGATTTATTTGTATGTTATATCTGAAAACTATCCAAGTAATAAAATATTTTGACCACACTAGCTCTTGGTGTAGAAAAATTGGTAATAAAAATGTTCAAGGAAAACTACTACCATAAGAATACCCAAATAAAACAATGCTCTACATATAATAGTTATTGCTACATATCAGAAGCTTTTCATAGCTTTTTAATACTCCTAATAAGTCCTAATGGAAAAAGAAACAAACAAAATGTTTTCTTACCATCTATCTAAATGTACTTTTTGCATCCTCAAAGTTGAAAAGGACAAAATATCAGGCAATCTATAGACTGAGTTATTTGTGCACATATTAATCCGCTCACCTTTATAGTACTTAGTAATGTGCCCTGGACATAAAAAGCACTTAACACCAGTTTCACAAGGCGATGAACTATATATGAACCTCTAATCAATAAGTCAACACAATTAATCATGATGAACATTTACTACTCCTAGTAAAATCCATATCTGAAGTAAAATTCTAGATGGACCCTGGCTGATGTGGCTCAGTTGGTTGAGTATCATCCTGTTCACCAAAAGGTTGCCAATTCGATTCCCAGGTAGAGAAAGTGCAGGAAGTAGCCCATCAATGTTTTGCTCTTATCTCTATCTATCTATCTATCTATCTATCTCTCCCCCTCCCTCCATTCCTCTCTCTTCCCACCCCTTTCCTCTTTCTCTAAAACAAAACTTTTTAAAAATCTCCAAAGGAGGGAGGGAGGAGGAAGGGAGGAAAGAGGGAGAGAGGGGGGGGGAAGGAAAGAAGGAAGAGGAAGAAAGGATAAACAAAACTAAGTATGGGAAACCTCATATCATAAGATATTTGATATTTGATAAGAGTTTAAAATTGTAACTAAGACGAAATACAATTAAAACTGAACTATAAAATAAACACAAAGAAATAAGTAACAAATATCCTGACATTTACCTACATCAGCTATTTTCAACCAGCATGCCATAAGAATTTTTAAAACATGCAATACCTGACTACTTCATCAGGGCCACTGACCTCTTTTCCCTTATATTGTCAAATTAAAAATTGACAATAGCCAACACAATAGCCATCAAGTGTGACTGAATCAAAATTATACCTAATTTTTTGTCAGATCACCAAAAATATATTTTGGTGCTGCAGAATTTTAGTCATTAGTTTATGTGTGCCAATGAGAAGAAAAGGTGGAAAATTGCTGACCTACATCAAGGCCTGGCCTATTCAAAGCCCTTTGCTTTCCACTGCAGATAGAAATGGCAAGAAAATCTCATCCTTTACCATTTTTTAAAAAAGCTTTTAAAAAAACTAACTAATCTAAATTTGCCTAGCCTGGAAACAAACTTTTAAACAATTAAGTTCAAAGAAAATGTAAGTTAATTTCAAAGATTTTGTGCCTTTTTAAAAAAATTATGTAGGCAGTCCAAATACTTAAGTCTTCCTATATAATTAAATTCAACATGACAAGCAGTTATATATAGATATATATGCTAGTGACCCAATGCACAGATTGGTGCACATTGAAAAGAAATTAACCAGAATGTGGCTGGAAGGTGGGACTGGGTGAGATGGGCTGGACACACCCTGGAACCAACCTCATGTGGTCCCTACCCAGCCGGCAGCACCTAGGGTGGCAACGTAGCTTGAAAGGCGTCTGTGGAGTGAGCCTGCAAGGATTGGGCCAAAACCAGCTCTCTGACATCCCCTGAGGGGTCCCGGAGAGCAAGAGGGCACTCTGCAAAGTTACCGTACAGGGTGTGGAACACAAATGCAAGTGTGCAGTAAAGCAGATTTTGGGCTGACAGAGCCCCAGCAGCAACATAACCCACAGTCAAAGGGCCCCTCTAGGAATAGTGCTCCCTCCTCTCTGGTTTCAGGATGCGTCACCCAAGAACTGCTGCTGCCAAATCACTGCAGCTCGGCAGTTTCTGCATTGAGCTTCTGCCCCCTGGTGGTCAGTGCATGTAATAGTGATCGGTCAGATGGTAGGAGGGACATTTAGCATATTAGCCTTTCACATATACATATATGTATATATCTATATATCTATATATCTATATATCTATATCTATATATCTATATATCTATATATCTATATATCTATATATCTATATATATATATATATATATATATATATATATATATATGTGCGTGTGTGGGTGTGTATGTATGTATGTATGTATTAGAGGCCTGGTGCACAAAATTCGTGCACAGATAGAGTCCCTATCCCTGGCAGCAGTCAGGGCTGATTGAAGCCTTTCACCTGCTGGCCGTGGCCTTCCTTCCCCAGCTGCCAGCTGCTGGCCAGGGCTTTCCTTTGTTCCTCGCTGCGTACATCATGGCAAGCGATCAAACTCTTGGGTCTCTCAAACTCCAAAGGGACAATTTGTATATTAGGCTTTTATATAGATAGATGGATATCTCAGAGAATGTTACACCAGAGGTAACAAGTGTATTTGGATAAGTTGTAATGTGAATCCATTTTTCTAATTAGAATGCAAGGTTTATTCATTTAATAAATATTGCAGTATCAATATTCTACACAGAAAATGAAGTCCTCTGATTTTATCTTTAAATCTGCCATAAACTCAAAGATAAAATCAGAGAAGGACCTGTCCTTCCCTCCAGAGGAGATAAAACAGGTAATAAAAAGCTAAATAAGATAGAAAGTGTAAATGCCATGAGATGTGCAAATAAAGCATTTCACAAGGGCAGAGGGAGCTATTACTACCTCACAGAAATATAACCCTCTCAACCTATTTAAAATTATTTCATAACTATTAGCTTTCTTAGGCTCACAACAACCAACCCTGGGAGAGATATTTTCTCCTATCATAGGTGAAGAAAGTGAAGCACAGAAAGGTTGATCATATGCCAAAATGTCACAATTTCATTAAAGGAAGAACCAGGACTCTTTGTATTATATTTTCTTGGGGGAGTAGTTCAACATATGGCAAGCCTTTTGTAAAAGAAAATAGTGTTTTATTTTAATATTGCAAGTAATCACATCCTTATGTGTGTATGTGCATATTATTTACATGTACATGTTAACCTTGATTTCCAGTAACAGGTGTGCTTAAAACAAGGCAAAGCAACTGTGTACTATAAATATTAAAATAAATAAACTTCCACTGAATTTTAACAAAATAAGAAAATACAGTATTTCTTTTTCCAACAATTTGTGGTTACTTCTTCCATAATTTTTACCTATTTAGACATAAGATTCTAAAATTGGGCTACTCCTAGCCCCAGCAAGTTGATTCCTCCGATAAGTAACTTTGTGAGGAAGTACACGAAAACGTTTTGGGGGGGAAAAAACATTAAAAATTAAATAATGCCACCAACTCTTCAGTTATCCAAGGGACAATCACATTGTGACCACCAGCAGGAGCTACCAATCAAGATACACTGAACGAATGAATGAATACTTTGTTGGCATTTTTAAATCCCAGGCCTGTTGCTCTTCGCACAATGTTCCACCTCCCAGCATTACCTCGCCAGGGTAAACACAAGGAATGTAAATTTCAAAATTGGGACAAGATTAAGGAAGCAATCTGATGCAGGTGAATATACTAATCCCAAAGATTAGAATTACCGATAGCACGCTACTCTCCAAGGTTAACTGCTGAAGCATAAATAAAACTGACGTTTCACAGACATCACTTATTCCCACCCACCCACACCTTTAGTCCTCGACTATACCTAGTCCAGTTCATTCGAAGAATTCAAATTCAGTTTCCTCTCCATGAAGGCTGATTTCTCAATTACAGTTTCTCAAATCCCTCTTACCCCCTGCAAAGAGAATTCACCGGCTTCGCACCTGAAAGCCAATATAAGAGGCAGAAGGTACAGAATTCCCATCTTTGCCATCTCCACCACGACCCACCCTTCGCCATTACTCTCCAGAGTGATTTGGTGAGAAAGGCGAACTAGTTTGCTCTTCACGCGCCAGTCCATCGCTGTCACCCTCCCGAACCCTTCCCTCCCGGCGGCCACCGCCTCCGCCTCCGAGTGAGCGAGCGGGGCCCGCGCGGCCCGGCCCCGGCCCGCACGCCCCTCCCGCACCTCCGGCCGCCGGCCGCCGAGCCCGTCTTCCTCCGACTCCCCCGCCGCCTCCGCCGCCAGCCCGAACCCGCCGCGCCCGGGGCGGCCGAGGAGAAGGGGCCGACGGCCGGGCCGGTCCCCACCTGCGGGTCCGCCGCGGCCCTCGCCCCGCGGGCCGCCACCCCCGCGGCCGCTGCCCTGAGCGCCTCGGAAGCGCCGGGACGAGCGGCGACCGGAAGCCGCGGCCACTCACCGGAGCTGGCGGGCGGGCGGGCGGCCGGCGCGCCCCGGGCCTGAGCGGCGGGACGCGGCCCCGGCGCGGGTCGCTGCCTCGGTACCTCGCTCGGCGCGGCGAGCCGAGCGCTCACTCCAGCCGCCGCCGCTGCTTCGCCACCTTGGCCGCCATCTTGCCTCAGCCCCGCTCCCTCCCCCAGCCCGGCGGCCGCGCTCAGGCGGCTCCGCGCCGGCTCCTCCTCCTTCCGGAAGGTCGGCGGGCAGACTCCCTCCGCCGGCGGGCCCGGCGCCCACATCGGCCGAGCTTCCTAGGTCGCCCGCGCCCGGTCCCCTCGTCCCGCCTCGGCCTGGCGGCGGCGGCGCCTCCCCCGAGACAAGCCCGGCAGCTCCGTGCCTGACAGGGCCCGGCGCCGCCATCGCCTCTGCCCGGCGCGCCCCCGCGAGCGCCGGCTCCCCGCACTCGGGCCTCCCCGGCGTGAGGAGGGCGGCCGTGAGGCCCGGCCCAGCCCCGCGACCCTCCCGGGCGCGGCGGAACGGGGCGGCGCGAGCGCGGGCCCGGGGGGAGCGGCGCCCACAGGCCGGCGGGTGCGCGTCCACCTACCCGTGCTTCCCGGGCTCCGCGGCGATCGCGCCGAGCTCCCCTGGAACGCGGGCGGCGCCTGGTGTCCTGGTGTCAGCCCTCAGCTGGTCCCGCGGAGCCCGTGACCCCGGCCAGCAGAGTGCGCCCTCAGCCTCGCTGACAGCGGAACCATGGGAGTGTGTGCGGACCGGGGCAGCCGGACAGGAAGGGGCTCGGTTCCGAGCTGTCACCGGCCTCGGAAACGCCTCAGAAAGCAGAGAGAACCGGGAAGTGCAGGGAGGCGCCGGCAGTGAGGCCCGGCTCCGGGGCGGCGCGGCGGGACTGACCTCCGCCCGGAACGCAGTCCCGCGGGGCGCGCTTCCCCCCGGAGCGGCGCGCGGCACCGGCCCGCACGCAGGCGCCGTGCCCGGCCCGGCATGGAGGCGGCGGGCGTGCTGTGCTGGGCGGCGGCCATCCTAGCGCCGGGCATCTTCTGGGTTTGGCACTTGTTGGGACGAATGAAGCATCAGGTGCAGGCTGGCCTGTCGGGAAGAGGAGGCCGGGCCCTCCTGGTGATCGCGCACCCCGACGACGAAGCCATGTTCTTTGCCCCCACTCTGCTGGGCCTGGCCCGCCTGGGGCGCCAGCTGTTCCTGCTCTGCTTCTCCGCAGGTAGGAGGCTGCCGGCGGCGCGGGCCCGGGGCTGGGAAGGATGTGTAAGCGCTCACATAGCCCAGTCGGCTGTTCCCTGGAGGAGTCTCTGCTGTAGAGAGTGAACCAAATATACTCCAAAGGCCCTTTCCCTGGCGCTTTACGGGGAACCGGTGGCTCCAGCCCAGGGGGGTAGCGTCCAGTTTCCCAGATTGGTTGGGGGTCTTCCTCAGCTTCGTACTCTGCTAGCAAGATTACTCACAAGGGAACTGCTCACATTTGACTCCATTCAATACTTACATTTCTTTTGGAAAATGTGACTGTACTCATTATTCTGTGGAACCTTTTTATTTGCAGAAGGACCAAGAATAATGATCCTACTATAGTACACGAAACAGAATCTAGTTATAGCATGCCTGCTCAACTCTGAAATCTTTTTAGATAACTAGAAGCCTGGTGCACAAAATCTGCACACGGGAGGGAGCGGTCCCCTCAGCCCAGCCTGCACCCTCTCCCATCCAGGATCCCTCTCACAATCCGGGACCACTGACTTCTAACTGCTCTCCTGCCTGCCTGCTCGCCCGTAACTGCCCTCCCCCTGCCGGCCTAGTCGCCCCCTAGTGTCCCCTCTGCCGATCTGGTTGCCCCCAACTGCCCCCCCACCCCCTGGCCTGGTCATCCCACACAGCCTGCTGTTCGGTCATTCAGTTGTGTCGGCCCCTGGCTTTTTATGTATTAAAATTTTATAGTTCAACATCACCCAACTTTCAGGGAAGGGGACTTCCAAAGAATAAGTCCTCCTTTACCAAACAAAAAGTGGAATGAAACTATGATCCTGGATTATGGCAATAATTGCACAATGTATAAATGTAGTTCAATGGGTGAATTTTTATGGTATGTAAAATTTTACCTCAATAAAGCTGTTCTTAACAAATGCTCACAACCTCTTTTTCCCATTTCATGGTGTGTCATTCCAGTTCCTTTGATATACAGATTTTTCACAGAAATAATATAATTTTCTATAATTTTATATTTTTCACTGTACATTTTTCATTCATTTACCAAATCTATAATAATAAAAGCATAATATGCTAATTAGACCAGACAGTTGAATGACCTGGACATCCTTCTGGAGGAAGCCGTGGCAGCAGGGGCAAGACAGAGGAGGTTAGGGGCAATCTGACAAGCAGGCAGAGTGGTTAGGGGTGATCAGGCAGGCAAGTGGTTAGTAGCCAGCAATCCTGGATCCCGGCAGTTGGACATCCCCCCAATTGCAAGAGGGTGCAGGCCCGGCTGAGGGATATCTCCCCTTCACACACACACACACACACACACACCACCTTGTGTGTGAATTTCGTGCACCAGGTTTCTAGTATTTAATAAAAATGTATGTGTACTATACTTAGAATGGCCAAAATCCACAGCACTGACACCAAATGCTGGTGAAGATGTAGAGCAACAGGAACTCTTATTTATTAAGGGTAGGAATGTAAAATGGTTCAGGCACTCTGGAAGGCAGTTAATTTGGCAGTTTCTTAGAAGACTAAACTCTAAGTTCTACTCTCACCAAACTATCAAGCAGTTACCCTACTTGGTATTTATTTACACAAAGGAGTTGAAAGCATATCTATGCAAAAACCTGCACACAGGAGTTTATAGCAACTTATTTATAATTGCCAAAACTTGGAAGCAATTAAGATATTTTTCAATAGACAAAATAAATTAATACATCCAGGCAGTGGACTATTAGTGCTAAGAAATGAACTGTCAAGCCATGAAAAAGCATAGAGGAACCCTAAATGCATATTACTAAGTGAAAAGGCTACACAGTGTATGATCCCAATGAAATGATATTCTGGAAAAGGTAAAACTATTGAGACAGTAAAAGGATCGTTGTTTTGCAGGGGTTGAGATGGGAGGAAAGATGAATAGGTGGAGCACAGAGGATTTTTTTTAGGGCAATGAAAATACGAAGTTTTTTTTGTGTTTTTTAAATATATTTTATTGATTTTTTACACAGAGGAAGAGAGAGGGATAGAGAGTTAGAAACATTGATGAGAGAGAATCACCAATCAGCTGCCTCCTGCACACCCCCCACTGGGGATGTGCCCGCAACCAAGGCACATGCCCTTGACCGGAATCGAACCCGGGACCCCTCAGTTCACAGGCCGATGCTCTATACACTGAGCCAAACCGGTTTCAGCTGTATGATGTTTTAATGATGAATATATGTCATTATATATTGTCCAAACCCATGCAATATACAACACCAGGAGTAAACTCTAATGTAAACTATGGGCTTTGGGTGGTAATGATGGAGGTTTATCAGTTGTAACAAATGTAACACTCTGATGGGAAATGTTGATAACGGAGAAGGCTATGTATGTGTGGAGACAGAGGGTAAATGGGAAGGAAAATCTCTATACCCTCCCCTTAATTTTGCTGTAAACTTAAAACAGTTTTTTAAAAAATAAATTTTTAATTTTAAAATATTTTAATTAAAAAAATATAGCCGAAACCGGTTTGGCTCAGTGGATAGAATGTCAGCCTGCGGACTGAAAGGTCCTGGGTTCGATTTCCGTCAAGGGCATGTACCTTGGTTGCGGGCACATCCCCAGTGGGGCCGGTGCAAGAGGCAGCTGATCGATGATTCTCTCTCATCGATGTTTCTGGCTCTCTGTCTCTCTCTCTTCCTCTCTGTAAAAAATCAATAAAATATATTTTTTTAAAAAGTTAACTCCTTTAAATATATATATATATATATATATATACACACACACACACACATACATATATGTGTGTGTGTGTGTGTGTGTGTGTGTGCTAGGCCTTATGCTATTTCCTAGGAATAAATAGTAAAAATAAGCTAATAAGGATCATGTCCTTATGAAACTTATAATTTAAACATTTATCCATATTAATAAGTACTAGTATATATCCTTTTAAATAGTCTCATAAGATAAATCTTAATTTAGTCACCCCTTATTGGGTGTCTATTTAGGGTTGTTGTTGTTTTTCCAGTTTACAAATAACAGCAAACATCTGTATGTATTCCATAGTATTTTATTAGGATTGATTTCTAAATTTGGTTGTTTTAAAGCTTTTCATGCAAATTATATTCCCAAAGGGGAAAAAAATTTATATTCCCAAAAACACCAACTTATAGTCTCACTGACTGATAATGAGAACCTGTCTTTTTTTTTTTCTTTTTTTCTTTTTATGGAGTTTATTGGGGTGACTAGTTAACAATATTATACAGGTTTCACGTGCATATATCATCTACACGCTATATTGCGTGTTCACCACCCTAAATCAAGTCCCTCACCATTTATCCCCATACCTTCTCCACTTTCTCCCAACAACCCCCTCTCCGCCACAGCCCACAATCACCACACTGTTGCCCATATCCATGAGTGTTTTATCCTTTCGCTTTTTTGCTCAATTCCTCCACCACCCCCACCCACACCCCCAAACGCCAACCTGCTCTCTATGAACCTGTCTCTGTTTGCTTGTTAGTTCATTTTGTTCATTAGATTCCACATATGAGTGAAATCACATGGTACTTGTCTTTCTCTGACTGGCTTGTTTCATCTTGTATAATACCGTATTTCCCAAAAAATAAGACCTAGCACATGGAAAGATAAGACATCCTCTGAAAATAAGACCTACCGCAACTTTGGGAGAAAAAATTAATATAAGACACTGTCTTATTTTCGGGGAAACAGGGTACTCTCCAGACCCATCCATACTGTTGCAAAGGTAAGATTTCCTTCTTTTTTATGGCCAAGTGGTATTCTATGGTATAAATGTACCACAGCTTTTTTATCCAATCATCTACTGATGAACACCTGGGCTATTTCCAAATCTTGGCTGTTGTGAATGCTGCAAGTAATATAAGGGTGCACATATTCTTTCAAACTGATGTTTCAGGTTTTCTTGGATAAATTTCTAGTAGTGTAATCACAGGGTCATAAGGCAGTTCATTTTTAGTTTTTTGAGTAATTCCATACTGCTCTCCACAGTGACTACACCAGTTTGCATTCCCACCGGCAGTGCAAAGGATTCCCTTTTCTCCACAATCTCGCCAACATTTGTTGTTTGTTGATTTGTTGATGATAGCCATTCCGACAAGTGTGAGGTGAATCTCATTGTGGTTTCAATCTGAATCTCTCTGATAACTAGTGACATCAAGTGTCTTCATGTTTATTGTCCATCTCTATGTCCTCTTTGGAGAAGTGTCTATTTAGGTCCTTTGCCCATTTTTTAATTCGATTGTTTGGGTTTTTGGTGTTAGGCTATATAAGTTATTTATAAATGTTGGATATTAGCCCCTTATCAGATGTATTGGGTCGGCAAGTATCATTGGCAAATATGTTCTCCCACTCAGTAGGTTGTCTTTTTATTTTGTTGATTGTTTACTTTGCTGTACAAAAACTTTTTAGTTTGATATAGTCCCGTTTGCTTATTTTTACTTTGTTGTTTTTGCCCAAGAAGATACCGTATTTTTCGGACCATAAGACGCACTTTTTTCCCCCCAGAAGTGGGGGGGGAAAGTCCCTGCGTCTTATGGTCCAAATATAGCCTACACATATACTTTTAAAAAAAAGTTTTTTTACTTGCCCGGCTCTGTGTGGTCTCTGTGTGCTTGCCCGGCTCTAAAATGGTTCTAAATGCTGCTGTTTACTTTACAGGGTTGATTACATGTGTTTATGACTGTGATATTGGGTTTTAATGCACATAAAATATTTTAGGACACTATTTGTTTCAGAATCTTTTTTTCTTCATTTCCCTTCTCTAAAAACTGGTGCGTCTTATGGTCCAGAGCGTCTTATGGTCCAAAAAATACGGTACATCAGAAAAAAATAATGCTACGAGAAATGTCCGACATTTCACTGCTTATGTTTTTTTCTAGGATTTTTATGTTTTTAAAAGTCTAACATTTAAATCTTTAATCTATTTTGAGTTTATTCTATGGTGTAAAAAGGTGGTCTAGTTTCATTTTCTGCATGTATCTGTCCAAT